GTGGCACCCACCGGCCGCCGGGAGCTTCTCACCAGCGGGGAGGACAGCGACGCCAAGTTTGCAGCCTTCGGCCACCCCATTCCTGCCGCCCGAGCCGGCAGCTGCGCTCTTTGCACTGGCTGCAGATCCACACAGTAATGTTTATCTCTGCCGTCCCCTGCCCCGAGTTACAAGCTGAGACTAGACAGTTAGCTAACATTTTCCAGCCATTTAGCCAGATTCATGCCTAGAGCAACATCCAGAATAGATTTTATTTTTCAAGAGAGAGATTTTCATATTTGAAACATGACTAATTTCCTCCTTTTCTTGGATGAGGTTGGGAAACACCTTCAAGGAAGAGTTACACATTTTACTGGGAAAGAGCAAGCCTACTCTTGCATTACAGCATGCAGCAGGCAGGAAGCGGCTACACACAGTACAAACACCCGTACCACAGTGTGGCCATGCAAAAATGCGATCAGAAGTTCAATACATTCAGGTAAGTGAAATCACTTGTAGACTCACTTCATAATAAAGGCATATCCTACTATTTCTGTTCTAATTCCATTACAGAGCAGAAGCAATGGTGTGCAATCAAACATTGGGTATGGGTAATGGTCTTAAATTACTGCTCTTTGCCATGAACTTCATGTTGCCCGTAACAGTTTACTGTGTATCAGGATGAAATACTATGACAAATACAGAAATGAGAAAAAAGCCTTATCCATAGTACAGAGTTCATGGTTTAAAACCAGTTCCCAGAGCTGGTAAATGGCAGAGAGCTGTTCCTGCATGGCCTGGCAGATCCTGTCCCACTCACAGGGTCCGGTCCCTGGGCCTTCCCTTGCCAGGCATCCCCCTTGCTCATCTCCACCGCAGCTCGGTCCGCGGGGTCCCCCAACGTCTCCCACGTTGCCGAAGAGCCAGGACTGGAGCTTGTAAAAGGCTGAAGGCTTTAAGGCATGGACTCAGAAGAAATAAGAGAGGAGCTGAAGAAAATGAGAAGACTGAAAAAACTGAAGAAAAAATAGACTGGGTTAATAAGGAAGGTAGCACATAGAGAGGAACGAAGTGTAATCGAAGAAGCATGGTGAAGAAAGACACCAGGGCAACATGATGTGAGATTTAAAGAGGTGATGAAAAGACCCGTCCAAGTTTTCAGTACGTAACATACTTATACAGCATGTGTAATTTCTTTTAGGTATGCTAAGGACTTGGGGAGAACAAACTGCCCTCCGCATTCACACATTTTTCTGACCAATGCTGGGCAGTGACTTAGCTTTGTGCCAATTGCTCAGGAGCTAAGTTAGTGACTCTGTCCTCCACAGCCACACAAAAGAGAAGACATTTCATCAGTTAACTTGGGGTAATGCAGGAGTAACTCATAATGACTGCAAAATTGGCATCCTGAAATGACCTCTACCCACGCCTTTCCCTGAGACTATGGTGGAAAAGCAAGAAAAAGTAGCGCACTTTCAGAGGACTTCTTGCCAGAAAAAGTCCCATACAAATAACGATGAAAAGCAGCACAGGACCAGGAAAGCAGCTGCCATGTGGTGATCTTATGATCTATTCATAGAGATTTGAGTAACTTTTGGAGCAATATACTGAATAGAATCATTTTTGCTGCAAGTCGTATGCCTCAACCTTTTCTCTATCTATTTTGGGATTCCTAGGGATATACAAGGGATCCTGTCCTCTTCTAGAGAATCCCTGTTAAAATAGACAAAATAATCCTTCTGCGTAGTAGTCATCAGTTAACTTAGTCCAGTGAGGGCCTTGCTTACAGGAAAACATTGTATCTTGTTTTGAAAAAACACCTATTAATTCATCAAGGAATAATCATTATCTAAAGTAAAAATTTTATGTATCTTTTTTAAACTAGTCAAGGCCTATAGCCTAGCCCAAGAGCAAAAGTTAAAATACTTCAGAATGATAATTAAAAAAACCCCCTCTTTCAAGATTTAATTAAAAGCTGTAAAGTTAAGGTAGTTATTTATAATTTTTAATCTAATTTAAATAATAATTTAGAGAAAAATTAGTAGATAAAATAAGTCATTAGGGAACATGAAATGTACATGATTAGTAATAATTCCCTGGAAGTGTAAATTTTAAATCATAACCGCTTTTAAGTAATTGATTTAATTTCCGATGTCAGAGCTCCTAATAAGCTACCCTCAACCTGTAAAACACTATTAGAACAGAGTATTTTCCTGCTGTAAATATTCTAGATTGACTGTTAGCAGTAAAACCATTTTCCCTGCAGATGCATGCGGTGAGGCATGTGTACCGAATACAGTACCACGCAGCAGCAAAATGCATCCAAAGAGATTCCATGCTTAAAATTATTCTCATTCTTGTTACTGCCATTGGGCTGCAAGTACCTTGCAGTAACTTAACACTGCACATGGCCCATACCCCTATCTCTGGCTTTCCTAACACAGCATGAACACAATGGGTCATAGGTGCCTATGCTCTTAATGAGCTGCCAACCGGACACGTGCCACAGCAACACGTTCTCACGCAGGCAGTAATTGCAGGGAGCTAACTAAGACAAGAGAAAGACCAGGCCTGCAAGGGCCCCCAAAAGTTCAGAAGTCCTCAAATAAACCAGACTACTTTTAGTCAATACCCAACCCTGACATTAACCACTTCGGACTTCCTTTTAACTCCAATGCATTAACTTCAACATTTTAGGATGATGAATGGAAAAGTAAGTTTTCAGAAGTGCTGCCTTCCAGCATCTACATCACAGACCACTTTTGATCGCACAGATACAGACAGCTGACCTCCTTCCCCTCCATTGCTGACAAGCACAACCACCCAGTGCAAAGCAGCAAAGGTAAGAGATCTAGCTATCAGCATCAGCAGTCTGCTGTGTTTCCAAAACATGGAAACTTGGACAACCGGATCCTTCTGAAGCAGTGGTTGACTGATAAGAGCTGAGCTGCAGCAATGCTTAACAGCTCTGCACTACCTCAGTATCCATTCCAGTGCGTGCCAAGAAGTGGTGGTGTCAGTGTGAGGCATTTTTGAGGCTTATTCTTGTGCAGCAGAGTCAGGACAGCAAGAGCAGCTCAAGTTTCAAGAGCTGGAGTCTAAGTAGAAGGTCCCACCTGTATCTTTACCCCAAATCATCATGCCTATGTATTTAATCTTCTTCTCACTGGTACCTTATGGTTTTTGCTAGGAACCACCAAGAGATCTTAAACTTATACCAGATGTTATCTTACTTTAAGTTGCCTGGGGAACTAACTCTGCACTTTTGTATCTGGTCTGGGTAGGTATTCACTTTATATGCAAAAATGAGCTGGTTGACCTTCTTGCTGCAAATGCTACTATTGGAATCCAGCATGTCATCTGCCTTGTAAAATGTTATTGTAAAACTGGTTTCAAATAAACAGCTTAAAACAATTCCTAAAATGCAGAAATTCCATTTATTATATTGAGAATTACCAACTGCAAGAAGTCTTGTGATGCATTCTCTTCATTCTAAGTACAATACAGTACACTGTTCTCCACAATAAGTTACATAAAGGCAAATTTTATGTACATATAAAAAGGATCAGTGCCCAGAACTATTTGCACAGCATATCTGCTATTCAGGAATCAATCATTTAAATTTTTAATTGCCTTCAGAATTCTTGAAGCAAACTGAATTCATAAACAGATCTTAATTACCTGGTTTGAGAAGGGTTTTCAACTAATTTCTAAATTCAGTGGAGACCATGCAAATGGTTTAACCGCTGAATTAGCATTCTCAGCATTCATTCTACAAACAATTGTATTAAAAATGAGGCATGCCATATGGTAGCATATAAGACATCATGGAGAAAAATGACCTGCCTGCATTTAAGCTGTTTATGCATCCCAGAAGACCCAAAAGGGAAGTAGGGAAGTAGTGCCATTGTACAAGGCACTAATGAGACCACAGCATAATTCTGCTTATGCATGCTCAAACCAACCCACCCAAAGAAAAAACCCAAAATCCCCTCAAACTGAAAAAAATGAAGAATAAGGCTGCTATGGTAATCAGCAGAATGGAGAGCATTCTATGAAGACAGACTGTAGTAGCACTTGCTTTTGCAATCAGTGAAACAGCTGAGAGTATATGACTGCCTTGCAAAAACATGTAATGAAAATGCCAGAAAAAGAAAGCAAAAGGACAATATGGGCTTGACAGCAAATGGGCCCCTAATAAATTTATATGGGAATGAAAAGATGGTTCCTCAACTTAAAGGAAGAGATGTACAGGCAGGGCCTTTGAATAAGGAAGAGTGGGGCCAAAAATCTTTAAATGAGTTTAAGAGCATAGCTCAGTTTATAGAAGGGATTCTGTGATGTGGTGTCTACTGTGGGAAAAAGACCAGACCCAGGGACATCCAACTGGAATGTTCCCAACTGGTCTGATCCACCACTGAGATAAGAAGGTGGTGTCTCTTTTGCAGTGTGAAATTACATTATACGCTCCAAAATTCCACTTAAGTATTTTCATTCCCCCCTCTTTCACATGAATTATTCCATATTCAACCATGCGAATGTCTGTTCATACAGCAAATGTGGCACCAAGCCCTTGCTGTGAAATCAGCAACCTGAACAGTTGGCATACCAGTCAGCACATCCCATATACCTTTCACGGCAAGATTTTTCTTCACGCCTTCCTCTTGTTTCTACAACGGAGTGTAAGTATCCTATCCTTCTAAAGTCACAGTGCAGTGAGCCACACAGACTGAAAATACTCAAGACAACACAAAAGATTATTTAATTTAATTCTTAAAATAATGCAAATGTAAGAATTGAAATGTACCACATGGAAAAGTGTTAAGTTGTACATTCCACTGATTCTTCCAATCGATACTGAAGACACCTTCCTTGAACTACATACACTTTCCCATTTATTTGAGGTGCTTGGACTTGCAAGATATGTAGGTAATAGCATATCAGTCAAAGAATTACTCGGAAAACAAATACAAGAACCAAACCCCCCCTAAACTCTTCTTCACTGAAAAAGAGAGGCACTGCATTTTTAAGCTGATTTAAGGCTGTAAAATGATGCTGGTTCACCGTGAATTTGAAGTCATCAAATGTCACGGGGGTGAAATTTAACCCACTGCTTCGCTGTTAGTCCTGTAAGCCTGCTTACGGAGGTGAGTCTCGATCTCCTCTCTGAAGACCAGCATCCCAAGGTGCGAGTGGGAGGCCTCATTCATGGCTTTGGATTGGATACACATGCGATACTGCTCTGGAGTGAGTTCGTCTGCACAGTGTTTCTCATGCCAGAGGTGAAAGAGACCAGGGACCGGTGTCCTGATCACAATAAGGTCACCGTGCAAGTACTTTCTGTAAAGGTGAACATCTTCTCCGCCCCAGCCTTTGACTTCCAAGTCAAAACCCCCTATAAAAACAGTATCAGAAAATGTTATTTTGGCACACAGACTAGATGTAAGGCAAAAAGAGCAACACTCCTTCTGTAACTTCTTATCAAGTCTGGTATGACATACCAGAAATTCTGGAGCAGTAACTTCAAGCTCTCCATGCCAAAGCATGCCAAATTGAGGGAGAGGAGCTTCAAGCATACCACATCCTTTGTGGTGGAAACTACCCAGGACACAGGTCATGCACTGCTGGCTTCACAGTCTCTTAGAACGGTGTCTCCAAATTGCATTATGCATGACGTCCCATGTGACAGCTGCAGAAAACTGTAGGCAAACCTCACTGGCTATGCTTTTGCGTTATTTTTAGCTACCAAAATGGATTTTAGCAGATGGAAAATGAAGCAGTCATGCACCATATGAAAAGCCCTCTCTAAAAAGGCCAGCATAGGTCACTTCCATAGGTCACAACTCAAAGAGCTGGATTAAGGAACCTGTTCCACCATTTTAAGTTCTCTTGCCCTTCCAGGACTCTAGTGAAAATTTACCCAGACCTATGTACAATTTCCGAACTCTAGAATTATGAAGTTTTCACTTCGCATATACTATATACATGGAAATATGACTGCTTTTAGAAATCAGCCTGCATTCACACCATTAATACAGCACATAGGACTATATCATTACACCTTCTGACAGACAATCTTCAAGGTGGTCTTCCAAATTCAAGCACACCAAGCTGTTTGCAGTTTTAACAGCATGTCACAAGGGGGTGCCAAAGGGTGTTTCTGAAGCCTCAAACAACTCTCTCCAACTGCTCAAGGTTTATTTAAAAGAAAGAATTTGAATGCTTCTTGTCTACGGTAGTGGCTTACTTGAGGATGTGTTTTTTTAAAACTTGATTAATTTGCTTCAGACAGTCAGAGTAAAAAGTTCTAGAGTGAAATGTTGTTACTAAAAAAATACTGTGACTTTAACACATACTCATCAGATGGGACATCAAAGTCTAGAAAAAAATAATATATCTCATTGGTTAAACTTGTCATGCAAGTTTGACTGCTAAGCTTGGGAAAATAATAAAAGAAATAAATGCATTACTTTCCTGTCATTAGATAAGACCAGAGAATCAATTTTTAAACACACAAATTTCTTTTTTTTTTTTAGTTTTATCTTACCAACAGTCAAAAAGTCTGTCCGATATTGACAAGTCATCCCAAAGCCAAAATCCCGCCAGAAACCAGAATCCTTCTTATGTACCTGCAATTTTAAAACAATAGAATTTTGAAATGCAAAATGCATCACAGGAGGTACCTTGCACTAG